CGAACCGACATGAAAATGCTCCGATTGATGCAATGAATTAGTCTGAAGGACCACATCAAATCTACCGAAATCCTGCGTCGTGCTGGTTTAGATGATATAAAGGACGAATGCCGGCAACACCGTCTGCGGTGGTTTGGTCATGTCAAACGAAGTGGAAACAGTGCCATAACTTCTATTGCAGATGTTGAAGTACCTGGCACACGTCCCAAAGGCCGTCCAAAGAAGTCTTGGTCGCAAACAATCGAGCAAGACATGAAAGCTCTAAATTTAAATCAAATGGATACAACTGATCGTCTAATTTGGCGCAAAAAATTTATAGCAAAGAAAACAACGTCCTACCTCAGGGAACTGGGTCTCTGGACGTTAAACGAAGATTGATTGATTGATTTAATCGATAGAGCTAAGAACGATATTGTTTTTTGATGATTTTTATCTGTTAGCTTCCAGCGCAATTGTCATCAGTTTAGAGAAGCTGATTGAAAGGTAACAGTAAAAATGTTATAAATCTACATATGTATTTAACAGAACAATAGTGTGGATTTTAGAAAGAAGCTGGGCAATATCTGTAATTGAATTTGAAAAATTGAACCCTGTTCTTAGACTAATAATGCTATCAACAAGTATTGTTCAAAATAAATTTAAAGGATTAGTTTAGTTGTTGCTTCATCGTTGAAAGAAATTTGATAAATATATCCGTCAGAACGAAGTAAAAAAATAATAGAAATCTTTGTTATTTTTTCTTTTTAACATTGAGACAAAGATTGGAAGCATTTTAAATGGAGTGCTACAGAAAATTATTGGATATGATGGAAACAAAAGTAAGAAATTAATCTTAAAAAGCCAGGTCGGAAAACAAGTGTTAAACAAACATATATCTAGGTTTGTAGTTAAAAAAACTAGGCCTCTTCAGACATATGTTCAAAATGCTAAATGATGGGCTACTTGAAACTAATGATGACGACAATAGTGGAAAAAAGTTGAAAGACTGAAATGAATGAACCAGTCAAATGAAATGAATGGATGACATTGCTGAAAAGACTGGTGTTGGAATGTTAAAATCGGTTAAAGATAGAAAAAGATTTTGGAAATCGGAAAAAAGGAAAAAAGTTAGACGTTTTAGGTCTCAACAGTCCCTTAGGGGATTAAAGAGTATCATTAATTGATTGAATGGTTTTAATACCGTCTCACATAGTAACTGTATTATTTATGCAAAATATTTTTATCCTACAATTTAAGTGGTTAAATTTATCAAAAAGTTTCATCGGAAGAGTGAATGTTTAATGTTTGTTAAAAGTTATAAAACTGGCATTTGCTGAATGGACTATTGTAACCGAATATAACCTAACAATTAAATTTAAGCTATGTCGGTTGCTCCGATTGTAACACTACAATTTTGAAACGAGGAACGGAAATACAAGACTAAGACAGAGTTATTCATTCAACATTTCGAACGTGGAATTTTTATAATTGATTTTCAACAATGTGTAATAACTTAAATGGCTGAGCTTATTTGAGTTGAAGGTTTAGTTTTAGCAATTTACGTAGAAAGCTTAAAAATTTGTGTGTATTATGTTATATAACAAATATCCATACCTAATTTTAATTGTTAGGTTATATTCTGTTACGATATGTCCCTTCAGCAAATGCCACAGTCTTAATACGTTGGACATTTTTCTATTGGGATTCAGAATAGCTCTATTTCTAGATAATTAAGTTACGTCTTAATACGTTGGACATTTTTCTATTGGGATTCAGAATAGCTCTATTTCTAGATAATTAAGTTACGTTTTCAGTGACCTTTTTGGACGGTGGAAAAGGTCATTTCAAGTTTTAATAGCTATTCTATTAATAAACCATTAAACAAACTTATCTTACAACAAATTATCTGCTTGCAACATGTAAAGTCGCTATTTAACATTCTTTTATCAGTCTATATTATCAGTCTTAAACATTCCCGTTGCCGGATCCCGCCTGGCTGGCCGCGGTTTTCGTCACGCTGCTCCGTATGTCTGGAATGCGTTACCTCCTGAGTTAAGACAATGTTCCTCGTTGAGTCTTTTCAAAAAGGGATTAAAAACTCATCTTTTTAACACGGGCTCCGAGCGCCTCTGAAGCAGCTGTGCGAATGGGTGCTTCATAAATGTTTATATTATTATTATATAATCGCGTTGAAAGTATATTTACCTTTCCAGTTGTTTTGACACAAAATGTTTGAACAGATTACAAAAAATTACTTGCAAAAACGAGGTCATTTCAACTTCAAAAGTTTAATCAAGCTAAAAGATCACTAGACGGTTCAACGATACTATATATTTGTTATATAAATGGATTACATTGTTAATACTTTGTTTTATGGTGTTTTAACCGGAAAACGCATTGCAATGCTCAGTCTGTTTGACTCTTTAGTTGATGAATTTAGTAATTATTATTAAATGAATTTTTCACAGAGCTGTATGATATCAATGAAAGCAAATTGTTTTTTGAACAGTTCTATTCACAAATTTATTATCTTTTCTATGATGGCTTTACTAATGTTGAAACTAGTCTCAGCCAAAAAGGTTATTATTATCTCTTTTCGTTTTATTTCAAAAATCGATTCATCAGTTTACTTGCTGAAGATTTTTCTTTTGAGTTCACAGTGAAAATCAACAATTAAAATTAGTCTAAAATTAACAAACAAGTGCAGTAAAATCACACGCAGATCACACATGTTAGAACATGTGATCGACGTCACTATGCAATTTTTTGAGTGCTTTATGGCGTTAAGTACTGCAAATCAATTAGTTGAGATAACCTATGAGATTGTTTGGACGCCTTTGATATAATAAAATAAAGTTTCCAGCCACGTTTCCGAGTGACGTAATTTATTGGAAATATTTTTTCTTTAGTCTTCATTATTGCAGCTCTGACATATGCAGAACCACTTACAATGATGTTACAGATATATTATCTATATATCTTTTTTTTATTATGTTCTTCATATCTTCAACCATTGATTTGAAGCAGCCATCTTCGCCACAAAGGCTGTATCCTTTTCACACGGAGTACACATGTATTTTATGTGCACGCGCAAGCACCGCATCATTTACGCTGAGTATATGATAGCCATTGGGATGCTTTGACTCGGTGCGCATTTGGACCACTTGAGCCATCTCACCGGCCAACATGCGACAACTTACGTCGTCTACCCATTTACCAGCCTCGAAAAAATGGATGGCTGGGTTGGCCCGGGTTCGTTTTATCTATTATGATGCGCAGTGTTGAAATAATTGTGCTTCATAATTTTCTTGAAAAGCTGTTGACCTGTGATGGAACCATCCTTTAACTGTACAGGAAGTCTGTTCCATATTTCAACTGCCATCACAGAAAATTTCCGTCGTCCAAAATTTAAGAGACGGAATGACGAAACGACCAAATCCTCATGGTTTGACGACCTAAGCTGACTAAGTTCGTGTACCTTTGACACCAGCATCAATTATTCCCTTAAATAAACCGGTGAATTACCAGTCAAACAGTTTCTAACAACCGGTGAATTACCAATCAAACAGTTTCTAACAACCGATGAAGTTTATCACGCATGAATGGGTTGTGATTCCATAGTGAGGAAACGTCTGATGATTCTGATTCTGTATTTGTTAAAAACATTTCCATTGACCAGCATGAATCCGGTAGTTGATTTTAATTAGCCTGAATTTAAAAAAAAACAAGGAAAATTGCTAAATTTTTTTAACAGACATGAATTATGTTAATGAACAAGCCTTTTCTAGTGACTACTCAATGTTGTGCCATCACAGAAAATCTCCGTCGTCCGAAATTTAAGAAACGGAATGACGAAACGACTAAATCATCATGGTTTAACGATTAAACTTTTTCCAGGAATATAGCAATTTTTCTTGATTTTTTTAAACTTCAGACTAATTAAAATCTACTAAAACATAATTAATAAAATTAAAAAAGATGAAAATCTATTTAAAACCGAATTTACAATTTGCTGAAAACTTTTTAACATCACTAAAACAACGTAATTTGAATTTACTAGTGCATATTCGTTTCACGACATGTTACTGGAAACATGCGCACACGTTTATGTGTGACGTTATTCATTGAAAATATTAATTTTAAACAAGTCGAACTATAACGGTTAACATTTTAAAATAACGACATGGTACAGATTATTGGCATGATATGATAGAATTATCATTATACTCAATTTTAAAGTTAAATAAGTGTTTATGCAATGAATGTTTGATCCGTTGTAAAGTGCAAAAAGTCACATACTATTGAGACAATTAAAAATCAATTTCGATTTTTTATTGGGAAAATTAGTTTTTGAAAGTGTTAACGATAAGCGGATAAATTTAGGCCATATTTACTTATTCATAATAATTGTAATTACTGATTTTATAATAAATGTTATTCAGTGAACAAAGCGCATAGAGAAGAGTTAGACTGCATGCTTTTTATTTTCGAGGTTCGATTTTTTTCCAATTAATAATTTACTTTATTTTTCTTATTTTACAGTATCTTACTTTTTACTGAATTTATAATTTAAAATAATGTATAGTGATCTTGTTCTACATTAGATTTCAATAGTAACTATTATGCAACAAATCAAACTCAGAAGTTTGAGTTTTTTAATTTTGTGTACAGTGCCACTTTTGAGTGAAGACTAGAGGTGTTATATATATATATACATATATATTTGAGTGAAGACTAGAGGTGTTATATATATATATATATATATATACAAAAAATAAATAAAATAAAAAATAAATTGAAAAACTCAAACTACTGTGTTTGACTTCTTGCTTAATGCATACGTATACATTTTTATATGAATTTTACCGAATTGTTGGCATTAATCAATTAAAAGTTGGCGTTTCAATTTTTTTACTAGAAATTTTTGGAAATTGTTAAATTTTTTGAAAATAGAATTATTATCCAAATTAAACATTAATCAATTAAAAGTTGGCATTTCAATTTTTTACTAGAAATTTTTGGAAATTGTTCAATTTATTGAAAATAGAATTATTATCCAAATTAAACGTATTATGTATTGTAGATTTTCGCCGGGCGACATTCGAATTCCGCACCACGCGGTTCCGAACCGCGTCCGCATACGAATATCCACCCGAGCCTTCGCTTCGGCAGAGTCTTTCCTGGCCGGGATCCGCCACTCTACAATAGACCCTCTCAGGGTCTGAAAACACGGGTTAGTTCGCGCCCTGCTTGTTGACTAGAGACGCCGACCTCGTCAACTATCAGCAAGTCTTCTTCAACATCCATTATTTTAGGTAGAATAATTAAGCCGAGCCAAACTTCAAGTGTACACTTCTTTTATTCAATAAAAGAAATAAAATAACAAACAAAATAATACAAATCAAACCTCTGTCTTTATTAAAAAAAACGATAAATCCAAAATTAATCTTAATAATACAACTACCAAGCAAGAAACAAAACCTAAAATAAAAATAACAAACGACCAGCCTCCTCTATATCTCAACTCGCGGCCTTTTATATGTTTTTACCGCCCTATCTACATAACGCTTTCTATATCATAGAAAATTCTATGCTCGCATCTATACTCTTTTCCTATACTCAGAACAGCGCGTAGCACGCGTCCCATATATTGCTATACTCCCTATATACAAAACAGCACAGCAGCGTCGCATATATAGCATATCAAATAACAAAATATACATGCATAGAATGTCTAGTAAAATATATAGATATATATAGGCGGCACGCCTCAAAGACGCAATCATTATCACCACAATCGTCACAATTTCACAAAATATACAGGCGGCATATTTCAATCGCGCAATCATTATCATCACAATCGTCACAACTTCACAGTATGTATATATATATATATACTTCCAGATTTTCTTAGGTGTTCTGAACTAATCCGTCCTCGTCATATGTACTACCCACTTCAATCTCCTCTTTTTTTAGCATCACTAATATTCATTTGTCCTGTTTTTTTTCTTATTTCCTCATTTGTGACATGATCCTGGCCTCGTAGCCAATTCGCATCATTCTTCTAATCTACTTGTCCTCGCAGGCGTCCAACTTTTTTCATAGTTCTCGCTAATTTTAAGTTCTTAGTTTAACTTATTTTTGCCAAAACCAAACCCTATAGATTATTGATCAATCTCTTTAGATGTATCCATATCCATATTTCTTGAAGATTTCCCATGCATCTTCTCTCCAGATGGAACCATACGCTTGTTCAAAGTCTTCAATGAACTTCTCAATGAACTCTCTCAATGAACTTAAACTTCTTCAATGAACTCTCTCTATCTTGAGAGCATTCTCTACCTTTTCAAAATCCGCTTTGGTCTCCTCACCGATACGATTTAAAATTATTTTTTTGAACATCTTTCCGTTGCATATTTTTTATCCTCTTTCTTGTGGATTTAAAATTATTTTTGTGATAACCTTTCCCGGTGCACGGAGCAAGCTTATTCTTCTTGAGTTGTAGCATATTTTTCTATCCTCTTTCTTTTGGATAGAAATTATTGTTGCTTTCTTCCAGTCCTCTGGGATAATCTCTTCTCACCATACCGCGTTTATACCCTGTGAAGCCATTTAATCTATTCTGCTGTGTTTTTTAGTAATTCTGCGGTTATATTGCAGATTCCTGGTGCATCATCTATTAATTGCCATTTTTACCTCCCCTTACATCGATGTTTTCTACCATCTCTTTCTCTATATCTGTCATAGTTAAATTAGTTGATTCTATTTCCGTGAGTGTCTTTATTATGTTATTGGTTCAGGTATGTTAAGCAGCTCACTGAAATTTACTTTCCATCGTGCTATCACCCCTTTCTTTGCCGTTATTATATTACCACCGTTGTCTATAATAGGTTTAATCACGATCATTTTATTATACTTGATTTCGGTTAACTTCTTTATGTTGCTGACCTATAGCGCCATTTCTGTTTTCCTGACCATTTCTTCCAAGTTTATACTTTCTTTAAATCTCTTTTTTACTTTTCTTAAATTTCTTTTTACTACCAATGGTGTCCATTTTAGCCATTCTTTTCTTTGCTTTTTGTACTCTATCAGCCGCTATTTTGGAGTTTTATGATATCCATGTTTTCAATTTAAGGGTTTTTTGAATTCCAATTCTTTTTTGACATTTTAAACCTGTGCCACTCATTTTCCACGCAGCCTCCCTCTTCTGCAATATATATACATATTGCACTTGCAATATATATATATATTTTATATGAACCACACGCAACTCGTTGTTTTGTTGGTGGACAGTGTTATAAATTATATTATGCGTTGATATTTGATAATGGTTTTGTTGTTGAAGTTCATGGCAACGTGACATAAACGTGACTATCAATTCGTCATTCTATCAACTTATCAGGATAAGACCTTCATTACGATGGAAATATTCTCTTTTAGAATAAATAATAAGTGATAATTTTATCTACTATATGATTATTGTTATGCATTTGTATTAATTCGTGTTAAACGGATTGTTGAGTGGAACAGAGTTTGTACACTCTAATCTTGCGTGCAACTATTTTGAACTTTTCACAAATTTTTTCAACGACTGCTTGAACTACAAAAAAATAAATTGAACGCATTATACAAAAATGTTACATTCATAAAAAATTTCAACGACGCGTCATTCATAAATTTATATAGCGCGTCATTCATAAATATATATATTCCCAAATTTTGCAATAATGAAACTTTTGAAGCAAACCGAAATAAAATTACCAATTAACACAACTTAAAGCTATACTCCAACTACAATTTGACCAAAAACTATGCTCTCAACCGGTTAATACAACTGAAAGCCACACAAAGTTTGAACAAAAACTACCAGCCACCTACATTTTGACCGAAGTACATGAACATCGTAACCAACTCAGTTACAAGCATTGCACGCCATAGTCATGCAACGTTGCTATTAAAGCTATTACTAATATCGTGATGCGTAAATCCGACAAATCCAACTATTACGTCATTTTAGACCACGCCCGCCGACTACATTAATAACATTAATGAAATTCTCGCTGATGATTCTAAATTACGATGATAAAAAGCTACCCTACATCAAACATCAAAAATAAAGCTAATAAAATAAAATTCTTCGCCAAATTAATTTACATTCATCATCCCTTCATAGATAATAAACTGGAATATTTGTACGATAATTTAAAAGCACACAGATCAAGTAATTCCTTATACCCAATCATGTAACTTTAATGTCCAACTTCAACTTACATGGCTGCTAAACTACTCAACGAAATACTCTCCTTATTATTCCAAGACATACCCAAATGTCTTTTCAGTTGTGTTAACTGGTTGAGCGCGTTGTTTTTGGTCAACATGTCAAATCAAACTACGAATTAGTTAGCTCCGATTGCAAAGGCACAGTTGCGTCATTGTTTGTTCACTAATCAACATTATTTGCCACTACGCGTATCATCATTCTACAATGTCACCGCTTACATGGTTGCTAAACTACTCAACGAAACTATCCTTATTACCTCCTGTCAAATCAAACTCAAAACGAATTAGTGAACATCATCAAGAATTTCGATTGCAAAGGCATAATTGCGTTATTGTTTGTTTACTAATCATTATTTGCTTCTTTATCATCATTCTACAATGCCACCGCTAAACATTTTTCAACTTTTTCATGTTGTGTGCCAAAATGTGGATTTTGTGTAGACTTCTCTGGCAAAATTATCATCGCGTTGTGTTACTAAAGTGTCATATAAAAGAAATTTTATTACTTTGTTGAAATTCGATTGTAAAGTTGAGAACAAAATGGTTATGTAGTAGATTACGGAGGTTTTAAGTTGTTTGAATTTGAAGGTAGCGAAAATATCGAAAACGTATCTTAAATAGACTGGTGGTTTGTTGAAAACGTCGGCGAATATGGTATGTTTCTAGATTTACCATATAGAATTTAGCAATAAGTAATCTCGTCCCGTTGTTGTCTATTTGTAAATATAACTAGACTGACAAATTTTGAGTAAATTAAATGTTGTGATGTCAATATTTTCGTTATTGTACTTTCAAATTCCAACATCTATAAACTCTTAAATCTACTATATAACCATTCTGTTCTCAACTTCACCATTGATTTTCAAAAAAAAAAAACAAAAAAATTTTTTTTCGACACAACACGACTTCATTCTCGATTACTTTCCTTTTTCACATGGTAAAAATCTTACACGTTCAATATTAGAAAACAGCACAATTATCATCGATAATAAACCTTACTTTGTCAAATTCTCCATATCCATCAAAATCAAAATAATAAACAAGTCGACATTTTTGCTAACATCTCAATATATTTTTAGTTTACCATGAGATGCCTCACCACACCAACTCCAACTAGAACGTTCTGTCAGGTAAGATAATTAAACGTTTAGGATATGTTATCGATATATTTGCCGACGTTTCCAACAGTCAATCTATTTACGATACGTTGTCCATATTTTCGTTACCTTCAAATTCCAACATCACCACCACCAACAAGGCAATGATCCTGCAAGGTTTTTGTGAACAACAATAACAAATTTATTACTACTCGAAAACGTACCTATTCCATACCTAACTTGCTATTTTTAACCTTTATTCTTCAATATTATATGTTATATTATTGTTAAGAAATAAAATATAATTTACGACAGTCTAAACACTAACTCAAATCGAATATTAGTTGTATCTTTTATATAACTATATTTGTTAGTTCCTAATTTATCGACTAAAGGAACAGTAATAAAATTTCTTTTACTTTGTGTTGAACCATTATATTTCTTTATTATAATAGTTTCTTCATCTACATTCTGTTGGATACTTTTTACTTGGTTTTCGTTGTTTATGAAAAGGGTTTACGCAAATTCAAGTTGAAACGGGCTCCTGTTGCGATTTTTTGTGAATGTTGAGTATTTCTGTTGCTATTGATGTATTGCTGTTCCGTGGTTACGTGGTTACCGATTAAATGATTTTTAATCTTAGTGTCAATGTGGTAGTGTGATCGATATATTCTGAATTTCAGTGTCCGAACACACCGATAGGATCAGGAGACTACTTTTCATTATTTACTCTTGTTTCTTATTACAATTATATATAAGAATAAGGGAAGAAGTTCTGTTATTGGCATAGTAAATTCTAAGTTGTAATTTTTAAATTGATTGTTTTTACTTCATGACTATTTTTTTTA